GTAGTAGTAGTAGTAGTAGTAGTAGTAGTAGTAGTAGTAGTAGTAGTCGTAGTAGTAGTAGTAGTAGCAGTAGCAGCAGCAGCAGCAGGAGTAGTAGTAGTAGTAGTAGTAGTAGTAGTAGTAGTAGTAATTGCAGTAGTAGTTGTATTTGTAGTGATAGTGGTACTGGTGTGGACAGAGAGTATAGACAGAGAAGCTCACAGACAGCATCATCAGGTCGCAGCAGGGGGTGTGCTCTAAAAGGAAGGGCAAGCAGCGGGAGTGCGTCGACAGAGCGGTCTGTGCTTTGCGCAGTGCTGTACAAAAGAATCGTGGGCCCTGTAAAAACAGAGCGGGAGGGGGTGCGGGGGAGGGCGCAGCGCCTCCCCAGCGATGCAAACAAAGTGTACAGTGCGGTCCGTACAGTAGTTTGGTTGGGATTCTGTGGATGCTCCTTCCCTGCACTTCCACATTCAGGCTCGAAGTGTGTGTCTTGATCTCAACAGATCTTGCTTCCTCTTAGTGAGGTTTGTCATGATTGAGTTCACCGTCAGGACATTGATCCCAACCTCATCAGCGGGACTGCGTTGGCCAGGGCGGGTCGGACATGTGCGGCTCGCTTCGCAGAATTGCACGTAGATACCACATGCCGCATATTTTCGGGGGAGTTCGTGATTGTTGCCGTCGTTGCTGATGAGCAACGATCACCGCTCAATACCTCCACCGCCAGCGTTGGAGCTCGCCTCATATGGGGCCACACTGTTGCTGCGTTGTTGCGCAATTGCTGCGTTGTTGCACAACAGTGGCATTCTGGACCAGAACGATGAGCTCAACCTCTCCAGCCTCCGTGCCGTGTTCCAGGCGCCATGTCACACTGCATTGTGCCCCGCACGGCTCTTCCACTTTTTGAACTGTTACACTAAGCAGCCCCCCCAAGTTGAAGAAGTTAAAAATTTGATCAACATAGGTTATAACTAGGGATAACATATGTTATAACCTATGCTAAGTTCGATAAGTTCCTTGGAAGTTATAACACAAATATAAGTAAGTTCAAAAACATGTGAAATTTATAACATAGTTATGACATGTTAGGACACATGCTATGTTGAAGCTTGCAGAACTTAGAAACAAGTTACGGAAGTTAGTTATTTTTATGTTTGTTTTTTGATGATTTGTACATTCTGTGCAAAAAGAATCGTATATTCACCAACAAGGTCAATAAGTGCTGAAGAATACCTAGAAGTCTGTGATGAAGAAGTCGTGAGGGATGGACGAACGATTTTTGACACAGTTAAAGCGAGCTTTCCGGGAAAAAAACATCATGCAATTCTTTGACCTTTGGCGGTTGTTCTGCCCAGCACTTTTCTCTTCAACACAAGCTTGTATGGAAAGAAACCGCGTTTATGTAGACATACGGACCATTTTTTGCGATAGAAACGGAAGACACAGGGATACAGAGAGATACACCGGGATACATTAGGATACACGTGTATCCTAATGTATCCTGGTGTATCCCCTCATAAAGGATACACTAGGATACATTAGGATACACGTGTATCCTAATGTATCCTGGTGTGTCCCCTCATAAAGGATACACCAGGATACATTAGGATACACGTGTATCTAAATGTATCCTGGTGTATCCTTGTGTATCCCCGTGTATCTCCTTAGATCTCCTTGCCACCAAGTTTTTTTTATCTATGGCAGACATTTGAGGACTTCAAAAACTTTCTTGCGGGACTTGCGCTGATTGAAGCATGTGCCAATCGGTTGCAGCAATGTCTGGCAGCCGGCGTGGTGGTGCCACGAAGATGACAAAGTTGTGTGTCTGCTGTAAAAGTGCGACTAGCTGTGGACTTGCGGCGGTTGTCTGCCCAGAATATGAAAACACTTGTGTTTTCTGTGTTTTTGGCTCGGCGGTTGTCTGCCCTGATTTTTGGCAACGCAAACAAGTTAAGCAACTTAATAACTTCTTCAACTTTCTTATAACTTACTTGCACTTTCTTTCATATAGCTTACTTATAACTTCCTGGGACCTGGAACGACCACTTTTTTTGGTCGTTTTGAAAACAACCATTTTTTTGTCGTTTCAAAAAAAATACGGTCGTTTTATCTTGCAGTCATTTTACACATGAAAAAATTGGTCGTCGTATACGTTTTTATATGTTTTTATACAGTTTGCATACGGTTTGCATACGGCCTGTATACGGTCGTGGTTCGAAGAATTTACGGTCGTTTCAACAAAATACGGTCGTGGTTCGAACAATATACGGTCGTTTCCAGAAATATACGGTCGTATACGATCGTATACGATTTCACAAATCAACTGCTTGATATGCATTGTGCGTGATGTAATATTTGAACTTCATCATAATTGACAAACATACGGTCGTTCAAGAAAAGACCATTTTTTATGGTCGTTTGAAAAATATACGGTCGTTTGAAGAAACAACCAAAAAAAGTGTTCGTTTCAGGTTGCAGGTTATTTTTAACTTCAGTAAGTGCTATAACTAAAGTTATAACTATGATAACTTGGGGGGCTGCTTAGTGTATATATTTGGGTGAGAGGACATTGTGTACGTCGGCGACTCTCCGCAGACAAGCTCGTGCACTTGCCCCGCGTTTGCAATGCACGGTCAATGCGAGCATTCGCTCTTCATTGACAGTCATGCCCTTCCTGGTCGGCCGCCTCGCTTGTCTCTCGAGACTTTGCCGCATGCTTCGCGCGCGCGGGGACGCGAACGATCGGGCCACGCGCGCAGAAAGCGCAAGTTGCACGTGATCGGAAACAAGGCCGGAGGCTCCGCCTGGTCCTTGCATCTTCATCGTTACTGCAACCCATATTTTCTGCCCTTGCCAGGTAATCTTCCTTGATGCAGCGTGGGCCGCGGTGAGAAAATGCGGCAGATTCGCAGATGACTTTTCTTTTTTCATTGACCCAATCAACCCACTGACATATTCCGTGTTGTAGGAACACCCAATCAACCCACTGACATATTCCGCGTTGTAGGAACGCTTTCTGCACCCTTACTCCGGTCACTACCTTTCAATGTTCGACCATTTTTGACACGTACACGCCGACGCGGCTATTGAGTTTTACATGTTACAACGCACTGTGCGTTTCTATTTATACTTTTCGTCTTACATATGCTGCTGCTCCCAAGCCTTTCGCTGTCCCTGCTGTCTTCACTTTTCCACTCCTTGTCAGCTTATGTTCCGTGCCTGGCTTCAGCGCCACGATATGTTCTATATATTGGACCCTGCCCCCCCCCCAGTAACAGTCGCAAAATGCTTTCCCTACTAAACTTACTAAGAGAAAAAGCACCAGAAATCTCAAACTGAAATCAGGCCACTTCAACAAGGTACCATCTTCAATTGTGATTTGAAGTTTGCAGGTTTAGAACCCTGTCATCTCATCTCATTCATCTCATCTCATTCACTCCCGAAGGCCCTCTCATCTCATTCACTCCCAGTCTTTCACCAACCTGATGTTGAGTTACATTGCACTGGGTTACATCTACTACCATTACTACCACTACTATTACTACTAGACTAGTACACCCAAAAGCTATGAATATATTCTATAATAATATCATTCATATCCTTAATTTATATTGCATCATATGCATGGGCTGCATGGGCATGTCTCGCAGGAGACGCTCACATGGCTCATGGAAATTCTTTTCCCATGCCACGCACAACGTCGAAGAACCTGCCAGGCAGGAGACCCCCCAACCCGCTCAGACTCCCCAACCCCCTCCCCCAGGGCCACCCCCGGAGTCCCAGGACCACCGGTGTCCTGATCCACCGTTTCCGCGGGGACAATCTTCGGAGCACCAATCCCGCTTTCAAAATCTCGTGCGCTTTCTCGTGCTTTTTCTCGTGCTTTTTTCGTGCTTTTTTGGTGCCTTTTCTCGTGCTTTTTTGGTGCCTTTTCTCGTGCTTTTTTTGTGCCTTTTCTCGTGCTTTTTCTCGTGCTTTTTTGGTGCCTTTTCTCGTGCTTTTTTGGTGCCTTTTCTCGTGCTTTTTTGGTGCCTTTTCTCGTGCCTTTTCTCGTGCTTTTTCTCGTGCTTTTTGGCGCCGGAAAAGCACAACTCCGGAGCCTGGAGGAGCACCAGAAAAGCACAACTCCGGAGCCAAAATTTGACCGGCCAGCCCCGGATCCAGCCGGGCCGCAGCCCCAGCCGGACATTTACTCTAGTTGGCCCCAGCCGCCAGCCCCAGGCGCCAGAGCAAGCCAGCCCCGGCCCAGCCAGCCCCAGCCCAGCCAGTGCCAGGCCCAGCCGTAGGGGGACATTTACTTTGCTAGTGGACCTCCCCAGAGCAAGCCAGCCCAGCCCAGCCAGCCCCAGGCCCAGCCCTAGCCGGACATTTACTTTGCTAGCGGACCTCCCCAGAGCAAGCCAGCCCCAACCCAGGTTCAAGAAAGGCTTGGAGAAGACCAGGGCGCGCTGCCTTGCAAGGCTTTGTTGGCTTGGGCACAAGAGTGTGCCGTGTAGAGCACCAAAGCAGTGGACCAGTGGCAAAGGTATGAAGGAGAAAAAGGTGCTGCCAACATATAATGGGACTATTCAGTTTAGGTAGATGACTTTTCAAATTTAGAAACCCGCTTTTGGGGTCCAATTTTCTCGTGCGCTTGGTGGTGCCCATCTTTGTGCTCACTGTTAGTGGGCCGGGGCAGTGTCCAATCTATATATAAATATCTCTCCCTCTCTCCGAATCCTACACTCAGCTGCTACTAGTAGTACTACTACTACTACCACTGACAATTACCAGTTCTACTGCTGCTACTACCACTACTACTACTACTACTACTACTACTACTACTACTACTACTACTTCGATTTCTACTACTTCTTTTTCTACTTTGACTACTACCACTACCACTACTACCACCACCACCACCACCACGACGACGACTACTACTACTACTACTACTATTACTGCTGCCACTGCCACTGCCACTGCCACTACTACTACTACTACTACCACTACTACTACTACTACTACTTCTACTACTACTACTACTACCAATACTACTACTCCTACTACTACTATTGCTATTATTACTACTACTACTACTACTACTACTACTTCTAATTACTTCGACGACTACTACTACTTCTACTACCACTACTACCACTAATACTACTACTACTACTGCTACTACTACTACTGCTACTGCTGCTACTGCTACTGCTACTGCTACTATTACTAACTACTAGTGACCCCATGCTCCTACTACTCCAGTCGAGCGGAAACAACGTCGAGAACGTAAGACCATGATCCGGGAACAGTCAGCAGTATCCGGGAATAGAAAACAACCCCGCGGACAGAAAACTGCATGGGAACAAAAAACAGTTTCTGGGCAAAAACAACAAGGCGGGAACAAAACACAACATTCTGGGAACAGAAAACTCGCAGCCCCCACTCCTTTACCCCATTTACTTGACTTGTGCTTGGTAAAATATAAGGGATGAATTTCAGAGCCTATAGAGATTCCTTTGCCCTCATTCCCTGCAGTCGTCGCACCAGCCCGTCACTTCATTGACCCGACCCTGTCGGCTTCGACGCGCACCGCGCGGCCGGACACACCTGGCATCGACGTGAGGCGAAGAGCTTCGGAGTTGCTTAGGCCTCAGCGTCCAAGGCCGCAGAACACGGCAGCGTCGAGCGTTTGTGTGAACACCAGAGTGTCAAGCGAGCTTCCCGGATGGCTGCGTTCCGTGGTTGTTTTCACTATTGATTACCTATTTTTTGTTTTCATATGACATTTCATCCGATTAAAAATTCCCTCTATAGAATCAGGTCACCTGGGTAGTCCCCAGCAACCGTTTTATTTATAGCACTATAGAATCGAATCACTCAGGTTCCTCGATTCTAAAAGGAACCACGGAAAATTTGCGACAAGGGTGCAATTTGACCTACTAGTTGACCTGGGGGTTGTGATTCTAAAGTATTAGAGCTTTGTACAGGTGAGATGGGGACTTTGATTTTTCAGTGACAGACATGTTGATGTCATTGAATAATAATGCGTCTATAGAGGAACAGTGCTATGATAAAATCTATGATATTGCTGTTTAGTGACCTTGATTATATAGAGGGAATTTCCAGAAAACATTTTCCGTTCCATCAACAGTTGTGTTATGTTGTGTTCTTTCAACTGTGTTTTTTCTTTCAACTTTGTGCTCTTTCAACTTTCTCGTGGAAGGCTCATGAGGCAATGAACAAGCAAGCAACAAACAAAATGAAAACAAATTGGTTTGCTGTGGCTTGAAGATGTACGGATTTTGGTCTGCAAGATGGGGGTTGTGATTCTTTAGTGTTGAATAGTTCATATATAATTTCCTTTAGCTTTCACTTCACGACGACGACAAAGGGGCCTTGATTCTATAGCGCGTGCGTGAGCTGGGGGGGCATGATTTTATAGAGACCCCCACTCGGCAACCGTCGATCTATAGTATGAAATTGGGCTACCCAAGTACCCATATGAATTTCAAAGGGGATGACATATTTTTTTTTTCTGAGTCTGGATGTTTTGTCGTTCGCTTCAGTTATGATCCCCAGCCTCGTCCACCATATTTCACGGCACGATGGCGCAGGTGAATGGCGATAAGTGAATTTCCTTCAATTACGCTGTTCATCATCCATCTCTGTGGTGAATTCCTGCTGTCCTTGATCCAATATCTACACTCCCACTCACGTATAACATGTACGTGGAAAGCGCCAGCCGCTAGCCACTACCCCCGTTCGCATACGCAAACTTGTCTTCCCGGGGCCCAATGGGTCTCCACTTCCATGCGGGTTTGACTGGTGTCGTCATGTAATCGATGCCAGTCAGGGGGATCTTCAAGGCCGGTCAGATTGTGTATTATATGATTATATGTTTTTTGTTATTAGTAGTAAGCATGCTTGCGCCTAGTAGTAATTTATTGTTACTACTGTTTTTTTTTAAATGCCGGAAAACTGGAGCTGGAACATACAGACCTTTCATGAACTTTCTGATCACGCAGGTGTTCATCGACAGTCGGAGGGTGATGATGAGATTTCAAGAGTGCAGCGCTCTTTTCTTATATGTGTGACAACAGCAGCAGAAGGGGAAAACAAGTAAATTAAACAGGTTACTATGATTTACTATGTCCATTTATCAATTCGTTCAAATTGAAATTTGTTTGATGTTCTGTTTCCATTTGCAGAGTCTGCTATAGGTGCCTCTTCTTCCCAAAAAACCCTTCTCCTCTCTCCAAACCGTTCTCGCATGTGGACACCGTGGACCACGCTGGCTCACGGCCGACACTCGGAGGCTTGACGCCCAAGTGGCTCCAGGACCTTGGCCAAGCAGCCACCATCGCTTTGCTGCTTCTTGGGACGAAGAAAACCGTCGGACACCGTGGACACCGTCGACCGTGGACAACGTGCGGAGGATGTGGACGACGTCGACGGTCCAGTTTGGGACCGGGGCTTTTGGAGTTACAGGCCTTCAACGTCGTGGCCGAGCTCTTTTGGAGGAGCATTTGGTAAGGATAATTTTGATATAGAGTTCTATAGATCGACATGCCCAAAGTCATTGGAATTGGGCATGAATTGGACATGACGCATGACGATCGGTCGATCGGTGGCCGCGCATGGCGATCGGCAGACGATGGTCCGACCGGAAGGGAACGGGGTCATGGAGTGACATGGATCGGTCGGATATTTCTTGGGGTTGGGAACGGGGATGATATGATTTGACATGACGTATCAGTTGGTCCAATGGACCCCTCTTTGATGGACAATGGATTCATATGGATTCTATTGAATCTATTGGTTGATGCTGAATGGGGAGCACAGGTTGCATAGTGACAAGTGGCACACTCTCCCAAAGCCAGCAAACCTTAGGTTGCCTGAGACATGTGGCCTCAGGTTGGCCTTTGTTTGGTCCTGCAGCTGGAAAAAGTGAATGACTCGGGCCGCTGGGTGCGGAGTTTCTTTTCTCCTGGACCCTGGAGCTGCCAGCTTTTGCTGACAGGAAGCCCACAACTTGTGCGAGAGGAAGCCCACTTCCTTTTCATCATGGCTATTCGTGGATGGCATGGCCAAGAAAAAGATGACAATGTGTTCCTTTATTTATACAAACAGGGGGTGCCATCCACCCCATAATCTACGGCCCGGCGCTGAGGTTTTTGCTGAGTTTGTTCTTTGCTCGCGCTTTGAACTTGGCCTTGGGCAATCCAGCGCCTTGCTTGCACATTTCATTCACAAACCTTGAACAGAGATGGATAGTGATGGTGAGTGACGCGGAAGTGTTTCAACCTCGAACCATGTCAATCTCGAGGCTTAAACAGACGGGTAGTAGTGTGCAGCACGTGCATGTGCAGAGTTTTTGCCATGTCAAAACATGTTGAATCGTTTTGCCTCCATTTAGGCCTTCATATGGGCCTTCATCAATCAACCAGAAACAAAAATACAGAGCTGAGCCGCTCGACCGTGACGCTCGGAGAGACTTGGACGGCTGCGCCAGGCAGATGCTGCCACGTGGTCCCTCTTTGCTGCGGCCTATGCCGTGCCCTGGCAGTTCAGGTTCACTTAGGTCCACAGCTGTGGCACTGTGGCTTCGTTGAAAGGGCCAAGGGGGTAGGGCAATTTTGCCCTGTGGATGTCAATCATGATGTCGCCGGCCTTGTTGCTTCAAGATCTTCAAGACTTTTGGCTGTACAGCTGCGGGCCGAATTCGACTTCGCGACTGAACATGTGACTTCATTCTCCCATATATTCTCCCTGCCCGGCCCTGTGTCCCCCCCTTGGTGGCTTTGATCATCTCAGGTCATTCTAGATCTCGTCCTGCCTAGCCGCAAAGGCAGGAGATTCGGATCCGCGCGCGTCCACGCGGGCCAGTGGATGAACCTGATAGCCAGAGAGAGTCAGTGTCTCTTCTTCGGCAGAATCTTCCCACAAAGAACAGGCATGGCCTTCAGGATCTCTGAAAAGCATGGTGCATGGCAATTATGTTGAACATCCAAACCCGAACCTGATAGCCATCACCCAAACCTGACAGCTTGGCAAGAAAAGACGTGTCTCAAGTCTCTATGTCTCAATATTACGCGGTTTTTCAGATCAACGATCTGCCAAACAATCAATCACGCAACTCTCTCAACCCCCCAGAAAAGCTCCATACAATAGTTATTGACCAAACCGTATTTCGACACCTCGTGTCTCTGGCATCCACCGCGAACCGGCGCCACCCGCTGGACGTCTACCAGGTCTGCTGGGCTCGGCAGTGTTGGAGGATCCCGTGCGGCAGCAGCGGCTAAGAACCCTCCGGAGTTGGGAGGAGCGTCCGTGGTCCGTGGCCAAGGTGGTTTGGGGGATGGGGAGGTATTTGGGCCGTGAGAAATGGAAGTCCCTGGCAGGTAGTGACTGTGGAATGATGAAGAATGTAGATGCATTATTTTTTTTTGGAGCCGTTCAACATAACACACATATATAGATACGTTTGAGAACTCATC